GAGGGAGGGAGGGAGGGGGTGGGCCCCCCAAAAATCACAGGAAGGCAGTAGGGAAGGTTGCAAATGGCGATCACGTGATCATGGGGCACTGCAATCAGTCGTAAGTGCAAACCAGTTGCCAAGCACCCAGATCATGATCATGTAACTGCAGGGATGCTGGGACGGCTGGAACTCTGAGGACCGGTCATAGCCACCATTTGTTCAGCCCCGTCATAACTTTGAACAGTCACTGAACGAATGATTGTAGGTTGAGGATTTCCTGTAATTAGAATGGCAACAAGTCACACTGGGCATCCTTCCAGTTGCTCAACTCTGCCCTCACTGGAATGCCCCTCTTGGAGAAGGAAAAGGCCAACCTCTCTTACCTGTGCCCCGGCGGATTTGGCCTGGTGGCTTGGGCTTGGGGAATGGCCTGGGGGCTCTCTCCTGCCCCACGGGCTCTCTGCTGCGACTCAGATGCATCCCAGTGTTGGGGAACTTGGTAATAAATTTTCTTTCCACGTATTTGGCCCGGATCCAGGCCTCCTTTTCAGATCTGGACAGGAAATGACACCCGCCAAGAGAAAGTTTCAGTTTTTGTTCTTTAAAAGGGATGGACAGCAGCAGTAATTTTCAGGAGATGCTCAGAAGCCGCTAATTATGGCCTGCCATGCTCTTGCACCAAGAACCTTTGTGGGGCGTGAGGGTCAGGGCAGCCTTCTGCCCGTGAACATCCCCCTGCACAAGGCATCTGGAAGAGACCCGTTTGGGGAGGAGAGGTGCCCTACGGAGGACCTCTAGAGGCCAAGACATGTAACTTCAGCCCTCCGGTGCAGCTGCGCCACCTAGAGGGCAGGTGTGGGAACACATTCATGGACTCAACCTGGATGAAAATAGTCCAGGGTGGGATTTGGATAGAAGGGGGTGCTTCAAGAAAAGGGACGCTCACCGCAAACTTCCTGGCTGGGGGCGCTTCATATTCATTTCCTCAACCCGGGCCTCATAGATCTGGTTGATGACATGATTCCCCAACACGGACATCAGCTGCAAGCAACAAGAGGGGTGTTTAGGGGTATCCTCATCCCAGCTTCTCTTCTCCTCTCTCCTCCCTCCTCCCCAGGATCCAGGATACTACCTCCAAGTAGTAGGGGAGGAGAAGAGGAGGTAAAGGTGTCTGGCAGGAGGTCTATGGCTGTTCTGTGTGCCCAAAACGTTGTAAGCTCCAGCTACTTTCCCTCCCTCCCCATCAAAGTCCTAGGAGTCACTGAAGTCAGAAAAATGCAGGTGGGGGACTCCCTGGGTGCAGCGTTTCTGTGTTAAAAAGCATTTTTTCCACAAAGCTTTCCAGGACGATGAATTTTAGCCTCACTTCTTTGTAACAGACTTTCCAAAATTGGAATTCCTGGGCTGGTTCTGTGGGCTGCCCCCAGTAAACATACAGTATGCACCAAGATGTTCTTTGGACTTGGTGTGAGCGTGCTTGAGCGTGCCCATGCCAGATCGAAATTGCCTTTCCCACTCCGGATCTGAATCTTGCACACTTCTAACCCAAAGGGTTGCTAATATTGGGTGATGCAGAAGCCCAGAAGCCTTTCCGGGAGCTGCCATATATTTTTCTGGAAGAACAGAATGTCCCCTAAATCAAGGGGTCTCTCTTGTGGCCCCCCTGCTAGTGCCCCACTGGAGTTTGCTGATTTGTTGGCATCTCAACCTGTTTCACCACTTCTGCCATCCACCCCCCTCTTACCTTCACCAGCTCAGGTTCCCAGGCATCAAGAGTGAGCGATCGCACCTTGGAGAAATGGACACCGAGGCTCCTAAGCAGAGAAGGCGGGTGAAAAACAGACGTGGCTCAAAGGGAGAAGAGAGACCTGCCTCTTCTCTAGGTGTCCAGGAGCAGCCACAGCCCTGTCCCATCCACAGTGGTATCAGTGTTGCAAATACGGGGCCACCTGTCCCCACCCACGGACACCTACGGCCTCTTTCTTCCAATGCTGCAGGAGACCTGCTCCTTATCTAATGACCCCTTCCTGATCAACTCCAGCCTCTGCTTTCTCCCTTTGCACAAGCTCCACCTCTTTCTGGAAGCCTTGCCTCCTTTCTTGCAAGCCCCACCTCCCCAGGCACTCCCTTCTCAGGCCCTATTCCTGCTCTCTTGCTTGTCTCAAGCCTCGCTCTTTATAACGGGGTGGGGTGGGGGGAATCGGAGTCAGCGCCGCGTCCTCCTTCTGTTCCCTGCAACGTGGTGGCCAAGTCACCTGTGGATCCCGGAGCACTCGATGCAAAGCGTGATGCCCAGGTTGATGCTGGCCCATTCGGGTGCCGGCTCGCGGCAGTCACAACACTGGGCATTGCCCTCCAGCCGCTGCACCTGATCCACCACGTGCTTGTCCACACCACCCCGCAGTTTCCGGCTGGAGGGGGATTGCAGGGTGGCTGCTGTGAGAGACGTGCTGCGTTCCAGGGGCTGCAAAGAAGCGCAGATGCAAAGGCTTGCCTACAGTCCAACCTGTGCAGGTTCAAGCGCCCCCGTGGGAGACTGTTATCCTGAGAAACTCCCAGCTCTCCTTTAACAACAGCAAGGACATACCAAGCAGCTAGTCCTTAAGACCAGGGAGACGGTTTGAAAAAGCTGAAGGAGGTGACTGCTGAAATTTGGACGTTGTGGGGAACATTGTTTCCGAAGAATAATATGGAATTACAGCGACAGCCACAGTGTCAGGGAGCAAATATGCTCCCTGAAAAGTTCCCTAGCTGGCTAACCTTTTGGTTAAAAAGTGAAAAAAAACAGGCTTAGCTGCTGGAAAGTTCTGTAGCTGGCAGGTTACTGAGCGGGGAAGACAAGAACATTTTGGGCCAAGAGCCACAAACCAGCAAGAAACCGACTTGCGATTCTCCAGCCTCTGAAGCTGACAGCAGAAGGTCAGGGAAGAAGCAATATGGGGCCCCCACAAAAATCCCTGACCCGGCCTTCAGCCCTCGGTCAAGAACAGGCAGGCCCCAGCCATTTTCAAATGACTTTTCTCCGCCTGGAGATCTGCTCTCAGTATCGGCTGAAAATGGGATGCTGGATATTTTCACCATATGGGCCCCCAGGAAAGACTGGGGCTTGGATGCACGAAGTAATAAGCACTAAAAACCCGCAGCAAAATTTTCCTTGTCTCAGCTTCCTGGGTTGTGGCTCAGGCGCTTCATTTGCCCACTTTAGCTACACCCTCTCTGATCCTGGGATTTCTTGCACACTTTTGCAGAAGCTGCAGCTTAGAGGGCACCCCAGAGAAGCCACAGGCCAGGCAAAGGGACCGGGGATATTTATGGCTTGTTTATCACATTTATAGAGCCGCCTGTCTCACAATAAAGGGACTCTAGGCGGCTTACAATAGAAACAATGATAAAATCAGAATATTAAAGCAGCTACATGCCTCCGATTCCAAACTAGAACAATGGATTAAATCCATCTGCAACTCTACCCACTTAATGTGGCTTGCTTGATGATAGGATGAATGAACTGAGTGCAAGGAGAAGACCAGGGAGGCAACAGATTTTGCAGTCTTTCGGGGCCAGGCTGGGGATGCTGTGATTTGCGTCCTTGTATCAGACATCATGACCCACGCCTCTAACTACAGGCAGTCCTCGCTTAACAACCAGAACTGGAATTGGAATTTAGGTTGCTAAGCGGTAGTTAAGCGAATCAGCATGTGACCGGACCCGATTTTATGACCTTTTTTGCGGCAGTCGTTAAGTGAATCACACAGTTCCCCCTTGATTTTGCTTGCCAGAAGCCAGCTGGGAAGGTCGCAAATGGCGAGCACATGACCTGGGACGCTGCAACTGTCGTAAGTGTAAGCTGGTTGCCAAGCGCCTGGATCGCGATCTTGTGACATGGGGCGCTGAGATGGTTGTAACTTCAGGCACTGGTTGTAAGTCACTTTTTTTAGCATTGTCGTAACTTCGGTCACTAAACGAACAGTCATTAAGTGAGGACTACTTGTACCCCATTTGCAACAAGGACCTCACTGCATGCAGATTGCAACTTGGGCTGGATGCTGTCATGTCTTACCTGCCCCAGGGGTTCTGGACGTTCCTCGCTGTAAGCTGACGCAATGCTGCTCTGGACGGCGGACATCCAGGCCTGCAGGTGCCGCTCGGAATCAGCTTGAAGAAGGCAGCTTCTACAAGAGCAATGTTTCAAAACTTAGCAATTTTTAGATAGGTGGACTTCGATTCCCAGAATTCCCCAGCCAGCCATGCTGGCTAGGGAATTCTGGGAGTTGAAGTCCACCTAT